CAGAGCTATGTCCTCTGAGGGCTCCACCGGGGCTGGCTCCCACGGTGGCTCCACATGCAGCTGTTTCTCACTATGTGAGTGTCTCCATCAGCTTCTGGGTTTCCTCACAACCTGGTGGCCAGCTTCGACCACAGCAAGTGACCAGAGGGTGAGAGCAGTCAAACGCCACGGAGCCCCTCAGGACCTGTGTCTGAAGTCACTCTGTCTGGACCTCACTTTATTCTGACTGCGGAAATGAGTCACCCAGCCCAAGCCACATTCAAGGAGGTGAGTGAGGTTCTGTCTCTGGATTGGAGAAGTGGCCAAGAGTTGTGCCCCACGTTTTAAAATAGAACAATTTCGTTTTCACTGACCGCTTTCCCTCACTGTTCGTTGTAGCTCTGTAAGAAAATCACTGCGGCACAGCCTCAGGAGAGCCGCCTCGGAAGTCTGAAGGAAGGTTGGCAGGTGTGCCCTGCTGTCTGCAGCAGAGGGACTGACCTAGCAGGGGGACAATAGCATGGCCCACGGCTGTGTTCTCACGCATACAGACATGGCAGTGAAGCATCAGTCTGTGAGGACATATGGTCAGGAATGTATTTTGAGGGCATGTTTCTTTTCTCTTTTTCTGAGACTGAGTCTCACTTCGTTGCCCAGGCTAGAATGCTATGGTGCAATCTCGGTTCACTACAGCCTCCACCTCCCAGGTTCAAGCTATTCTCGTGCCTCAGCCTCCTGGGTAGTTGGGACTACAGGCATGAGCCACCAGCCGGGGGCGTGGTTCTTTACAACTTTCTATTTCCAATCTCTCTGTCATCTGGCTGCAGCCAGGACCTGGGACACAGATGTGACTTTTCTTACAGAGCTGTAAGGTCATGTGCAGCACGTAACCTGTGGGGACCACTACCCAGGCAGCCTGAGGCCAGCAGGGGCGAGGCTGGGGCTGGCACAGAGGAGCTTGAACAGGTGGAATCTTAAAAAGCAGGAAAGGGTCTGTTAGGCGGAGGCAGGGAGGGGTGTTCAAGGCCCAGGGCTGGTACACATGGCCAGTGGCCTGTGGCAGGGCATGCGCTTGCTGTTGAGTCTCCTGGGAGAGGAAAGGGTGGTGTGAGGGGCAGCCTGCAAGTCCGTGCAGGCCCCAGTGCAGCTGCTAAGTGGACCCAGGGCTCATCCTGCAGGACAGGCATGAAGCTGGGAGGGTCACTGCCGGCTGCCCTGTAAGTCAGTCCCTCAAGCTGTGGGGAGTGGCGGGGGGTGGACAGGGGAGCACAAATGAAGGCAGGTAGACCCCGGGGCAGGGCAGCGAAGCAGTGCTGGGGAGAGGAGATCGGGCTCCAGCCAGGACAGAGAAAGCAGCCTGGACAGGAGGGGGTGGTTTAAAACATTGGGAGATAAAAGCAACAGGGTGAGAGAGGGGGTGGGACGAGGAAGGAGGAAGCAGAACTGTCTGGTTTTCAACACTTTGCCAAGTCCAGGAGGCAGCTGGAGAGAGGGCTGGGTGGGGGCAGGCAGTTCCTAGGGTCCTACCGCACCGGCAGCACCTAAGATCTCCACCTATATTCACTTGGTCCACAGGACATGAAGACCCAGAACAACACAGGTTGCTGCCCTCCTAGGGCTGATTCACGTGGGAGTGTGTGGGGGTGGGGGTAATTGATAATAAATATAATAAGGAAACTGTATGCAAAGTGTAAATGCGAAGGGTTGTTGGGGGGGCAGAATGCTGCGGATGTCCTAAGGTGAGCCCCCAGAGCCAGCCCCATGCCCATCCTTCCCTTGGCTATAGGTGGCACCTGTGACTTCACTCTGAGTAGAAGTGGGTGGAGGGTGTGGGTGGTTCATCACCCATGATTAGGGGTGTTCAGTAGGACTCCCTCTGGGGGTGGGACTCTCCAGCAGACCCTTGGGAAGAGGCCAGCCGGTGAACCGCCCACCCTCGCGGACGGCCACACAGCAGGGACCAGCAGGCAGCCCCCGGGGGCTGAGAGCAGCAACTGGCGGCCCTCAGTCCTACCCGCACCAGGACGTGCCTTCTGCCAGCAACCGCACGAACTGGGAAACGATCCTTCCCCAGTCCAGCGTCCACGTGAGACCACGGCGGCCGCCCTGAGCTGAGGACCCAGCTAAGCCCGGCCTGCAGGCCCACAGAAGCCTGGAGGTAACAGGCTGGTGTCGTTTCAGGCCACCCAGCTTGCGTACGGAGGAAACGAACACAGGGGCTCAGGCGGGCCTGGCGGTGCGACCTGGGCGGGCAGCACGTGGCGTGAGCGCAGCCAGTGGCTGGTTCCCCAGGGAGAACCGCGGCGGGAGAAGCGGCGGGGGCCGCGGGGCCGCGGGGTCGAGGACAGCTCGCCCGGCCGCGCGCGAGCGAAGGTGGTGGCGGCGCCCGCAGGAGCGAAGGAGAGGTGGGGACAGCGACTGCCCGCGGAGGCACGCGATGGGCGCCGTGAGGGCGGGGGCAGGGCTGGGGGCTGGCGGGGAGCGTCCTCAGGGACAAGGTTCCCCACACGCGGCCGCGACCTCCCGGCTGTGGCCCCGGAGCCAGGAGCCCACGTGCGTCAGGCCTGGGAAGCCAGGGGATGCAACCTGGGGGCGGGGCCGGCTGTTGCGGGGGCGGGGCCGGCTGCTGCCGGGGCGGGGCCTTGTGGGGCGGGCCTTTCCCGACGGTGCGCGGGGGCGGAGCCTGTGGGGGCGGGGCATTAGGGAGAGCCGGCTCCGGGAGGAGCTTTCGGAGGTGGGGCCCGCTTGGGGCGGAGCCTGCTTGGGGCGGGGCCTTTGGTAGGACACCTCCCATAGAGGGCTGTGAGGGGGCGGGGTCAGTTCGGGGAGGAACCTGCGGCGTGGGTTAGGGGCGGGACCTGAGAGTGCGGGGTCTGATCGGGGCGTGGCCTTCGGGAGTGGACTCGTCTGTGGGTGGAGCCAGCTCGGGCCGAGCCCTCCACCGCCCATTACCACCGAGTCCGACCCCGGGTCCTAGCGCGGCGGCCGGAAGGGGCGGGTCAGCAGGCGGGCTCTTCCTGCCAGTGCTGAGGGCCAACCGGGACGGGGTCGCGGAGCGGCGGGGGGTCCCGCGAAGAGGGTGCCCCTTTCTCGTCCCCTGCCCCCGCGAGAGGCGCCCCCGCCCCGCCCTTCGGCGTCCTGGTAGGGCCCGGGCGCGTCCGCGCTCTGCAGCGGCAGGTCCTCGTCGCCCCGCGTCTCCAGCCAGGTACTCACTGGGCCCCGCCCGCCGCCTCCGTCCCAGGTCGCGCGGCGTCGGAATGGCCCCCGGGGTCTCCCCGCGCCCGGCCCTCCAGGGAGGGAGCGAGACCCGGCTCTGAGCACCTCCCAGGCCCCGGCCCCGCACCGAGGCCGACCTGGCTCCGCACGCGGGCCTCGGGGCTCTGCCGTTGGAAAGGGGGTCTCAAGTAGGAGCACGCAGGAGACCCTGGCGGGCCCTCCGCCTGGCTCCGAGGCCTGGCATCGCAGGCCTTGGCACAGCAGGCTGGCCCATGTTAGGCCGTGGACCCATCAGGCTGTTTCAGTGCAGTTTGCCCTTGAATTTCAAGCCCACTAATGTTCCAGTCTCTCCATGAGACCCAGATCCCTGAGCGCAGGGGAGGGAGGCGCCAGGGTGAGTAAGGTTTTCCAGGCAGCCCCTACCGCCCATAGATACCCAGAGCTTCATATTACTAGTGAAGGGTCGTCGGTCCAGAGAGGCGGTGGAGCTACGCTGGAGTTGCACGACAGAACCAGAACCCTAACCTCTGAGGCTCTGGCAAGCATGGGTTGCATTGTCTGTGACTAGCTAATCACTCCTGTCTACAGGCCTGTGAAGTGAGGCCAAGACAAGCGCTATGGTCCACTCTGTCTTTAAAAGTATTTTATTTCTCAGGGTGGGCAGCGTGTAGAGAAGTGAGTCGTTCCAGTCTGCCATTTAGCGCCTACCAGCCTGAGCTGGGTCGACAAGACCATAATGGAGAATGTTTCTTGAGCACAGTATGTGACCAGGATTTGGAGATAAAAAAGACTTCTTCGCCTTCAGGAGCCCCTGCTGCATAAGGAGACTGCCATGTCAGTGACCAGCCGCATCCAGTTACAAGTGTCTGGAAGAGGGAACAGTGCTGTGCAGCAAAGAGGACTCCCACCCAGGCCTTGGGCAGCAGGTGTGAGGCTCGGTGGGTTCACAAACCGCCCCTCGGTGGAGTGGAGTCTGCAGAGAGCTAGAAGGGTTTCCACCGTACCCTGGAGAGCTGCGCTTCTCCACCTCACCCCTGCCCATGAGGCAAACTGAGCTGGTCGACTGGTCTTTTGTGTTGGTTTTTGGTTCTCACTTTTGTTTCCTACCAGAGCTGGACCCCAGCCTCAAACTCCAGCCAGCTTGGGCACCAGGGCTGGGCACCAGGGCTCCCCCTGCCCACCCCAGCAGAGATGCTGCATCCTCCGTCAGCACATGTGGCCTTCAGCTTCGGTTCTGGCGCGCCCACCTGATCTACCTCCTCCCACACACCACCTCTAGATAGAGCCCTAGAAAGTGATGTTGGCCTGAAACTGAGTCACATTTATCTAAACGTTTTCCTGTAAAAAAGACCAGACTCTCTCCTTGTTGAGATAGGAAATCTGTTTACATGTTACCTGCACTCATGAGGGAGAGGAGGAAAGGCCACAAACCTTGTCTCGACTTAACAAAGAGAATTCAAGGTATTTTTGTGTTGAAACGTGTCATTTGCAACATGTGTTTCAGCTCCATTTTCCACTTGGGCTCAACCCTGGCCGCAAACTCCAGCCTGGTTAACCAAGAGCTAATACGAAGGGTACACAATAGTATGTTACTTAGAATACAACTGAGCATGGTGGCTCACATCTACAGTCCCAGCTACCCAGGAAGCTGAGGTGGGAGAATCGCTTAAACCCAGGATCTCGAGCCTTCAGTGAGCTGCAGTCATGCTGCTGCACTCTAGCCAAGGCAACAAAAAGAACCTGTCTCAAGAAAAAAAAAGAACGCCACCGTGGGGTAAGGCGGTGGTGAGAATGACAGGCTTCCTGGTGGATGAGAGGAAGCATCGTAGTCCCAGGGGCTCCTGGCGTTCTCAGCCGGAATGGTTTGAAGCCGGAACACTGTCTGCTTTCCCTGGAGCCGCAGAGGAAGCAGTGTTTTCCACAGTCTCAGAGATTTCTTTCACCGGCAGCTTCCAGCCTGGCGTTTTTCAAGGCTTTCCACTGGGATTCTGTTGCCACTGAGAGGCAAGGGCAAGTCAAGGGAGCCCAGAAACAGCACAGAGCAGGGCTCCACAGTGGAGGGAGGGCCTGTGACTGAGGCTTCCACGTTGCACCTTTCCTGTCGCCTCCGGCCTCTGGGGTTGACTGATTCTTGTTGGACTCATGGCAAGATTGGGCTGCAATTAGATGGCATCATGGACAGGGACATACCTCTCTCTTCCCCTTGAGCGCTAATGAGAGACATTTCCATGGGGTAACCTTCAAACAATGCAAGCCAAGTCCCAGCCAACAGTCCCCGGGGCTGCAGCCTGTATCCGAGTGAGAACAGGCCTGGGCATCCTAGCACTGCCTCGATTGTGACCTGGGGAAGGGGTGTTGAAGATGAGATTAATGATACGGAGATTTGTGAAGAGCTTAGAGCAGGGAACATACTCTAAGTGACAGCTGGTGTGATTTCTCAGTTATTCAACCAATATTTGACAAGGAACCTTGGTGTGCCAGGAGCCATGGCAGGGCTTTGGAACAGAGAGCAAACCACCCAGAGGAGTTTAGCCCCTCTCATGTGCTAGGAGGAAAAGTAGGGCAGGGAAGCTGGCGGGGGACGGTTCCTTAAGAAGGGGGCATCAGAGCAGAAAGTTGAGGGGCCAGCCAGGTGAGGCAGGAGGGATCAGGTATGTTTGGTGAACCTAAAGAAGGCTGGGATGGCAAGGGGGTCCCCAAAGGATGGGTGTGGCCCCAGGCAGGGCATGTGGGGCCCATGGTGTGAGGGACACCACCGGGATTCTTAGCCGGGATGTGACACAAGGGGGTCTGCTGGCTGCTATGGGCCGTGGCGGGGGCGGGGCAGCCCTGGTTTCATGAGTTTGGAACCCAGCTTCCACTGGGAGTGTGTGGCCCCTGCAGCCGTAGCTCCAAAGCACAGTGACTGATCCCAAGCCTGGGATGGTAAACAATGAGACCAGGGCAGGAACCAGGGGGACTCGGGGGTGGAGGAGGGAAGCCGCAGGGCAGTCGGTGGGGGTGTCAGATCCTGACGGCATGCAGACCCCAAACCCTGGCAGAGGAGCAAGGATTCTTTGGTGAGCCACTGATCCCGTCACCAAGACAAGGAAAGGCCAGGAGAGTGAGTCAGGTGGGGCTCTGCGGAAGTCAGCTATTCTGTTTGAGTCACTCATTGGGGAATACATGGGAAGGGAGAGGCTGCACCAGAACCCCACGGCCCCTGAAAGGTGGCCTTTTCATCTGATGTCCGTGTTCTTGCTTCCCAGCAGCAAGAGGATGGTGGCCCTTGGCCTCCTGCAGAGCGTCGGCCCCACGCTGCGAGTGTGGAGAGGTGCATGGGAAGCAAACCGTTCTTGAGGAAGTGGCGCCAGCAGAGAGAAGCCAGCAGCCCCCTAGCCCTCAACGCTTCCAAGGAACAGAGAACGATGGAGAAGCCTGCAGGTAGAAGAAAGAGGACACCGACCCCGAGGGAGGAAGCAGATGGGCAGAAGAGCGTGCTCAGAGAGGAGCAAGTGTCCAGGCATAGGAAGCCACCTGAGAGGCCTGCTGTGCCCAGGAAGCCCCGAGCAGAGCCCCACCTGAGTCCTGAAGACGAAGAGCACATCTTTGATGCCTTCGACGCTTCATTTAAAGATGACTTTGAGGGGGTTCCCGTGTTCATTCCTTTTCAGAGAAAGAAACCCTATGAGTGCAGTGAATGCGGGCGGATCTTTAAGCACAAGACAGACCACATTCGCCATCAGAGGGTCCACACCGGAGAGAAGCCCTTCACGTGTGCGCAGTGCGGGAAGGCCTTCCGACACAGCTCTGACGTCACCAAACACCAGAGGACTCACACGGGGGAGAAGCCCTTCAAATGCGGGGTGTGCGGGAAAGCCTTTAACTGCGGCTCCAATCTCCTGAAACACCAGAAGACACACACCGGGGAGAAGCCGTATGAGTGCGTGGACTGTGGGAAAGCCTTTGCCTACAGCTCCTGTCTCATCCGCCATCGGAAACGCCACCCTCGGAAGAATCCCTGAGCTGGGGACGCCTGCTTTGTGGCTCCCTGGTGTTGGGCGTCTGGTGGAGGTCCTGGGCCATGTGCGCTGTGTTCTGTGCCCTGGGGGACCCCTGGAAAATCAGCCTGGTCAGAGGTGAGAATGCCTGAGTGAGAGACCTTCCCACTGCAGAGAATCTCTAAGTCAAGACGCTGCAGTCATGTGGGAGCCACCAGAGGCTCCTTGCAACCACAGACCATTGTCCAAGTTCCTCGATGGCTCCCTGGTCTCAGCACCAGAGACCAGGTGTATTCACTGCCATCCACGGGACAAACTTGGGTCACCTCACAGTGCCCAGCAGGAGAGGCTCCTGGTGTGCTGGGCGCCCACCACTTCCCGCTGCTGCCTGCCTGTAATATCCACTCTGCTAAAGCCTTTCATCTGCCCCTGAAGGCCCCAGTCCGCAGACTACCCACCCGCTGGGGCCCCAAGCTCTGCAGCAAGCCCAGGACCACTCCTCCCTGCCTGGCCAGCTTCAGAGCCCGGGGCCGCTCCTCCCTGCCTGGTCAGCTTCAGTGCCCCAGGACCACTCCTCCCTGCCTGGTCAGCTTCAGTGCCCCAGGACCACTCCTCCCTGCCTGGCCAGCTTCAGTGCCCCGGACCACTCCTCCCTGCCTGGTCAGCTTCAGAGCCCAGGGCCACTTCTCCCTGCCTGCCTGGCCAGCTTCAGAGCCCGGGCCCGCTCCTCCCTACCTAGCCTTTGCCCAAACTGTGCTTGGTTCTCTGGCTTCTCTCCTCTGACTGGAGCCCAGTCCCTGAGCTCAGACCCCCGTCCTTGGAACTGGGCCACACAACATGCCCTCTTGGCCCAGCCTTCATCCCAGACAGGCGGCCTGACTTACCTGGATGAACTTCTCGGGACAGAGGCTCCTCAGGACCTTGGACACCGCCACCTGCTGAGCTTCCTGCCCCCGCTACCTGGTGGGGCCCCTGGGGTGCCCTCGGCAGCTCAGTCCAGCCTGCATCTGCCGCTCAGCCTTCCAATGTGGGCAGTGTTTCCCAGCCCCACGGACCAGCCCATCATTCAGGTTAGTTCCACTTCTGCATGCCTGTACCCAGTCCTGTCCCACCAAGGGCAAGTCCACAGGCCTGTGCCACCCTTGGGGTCCATCCAGGAGCGGAGTGGGAGGGGCTCTGTGCTCTCCAGGGACTGTGGTTCAGAAGAGAGTAGCAAATGACCATCAACCGGAAGGCAGTAGGCTTTTACTTGGGAAACGCTGGCACCTGTGCCTGCAGCTGTTGAGACGTGAAACCCTAATGACGGCTCTAGTCTGGGGATTCTGTCCTGGAAGGAGAGTCCCGATTCGAGCTGGTGATGGCCTTGGCCTTGTCCACTGAGCAGTCTCAGAAACCAAGTAGGGGACACTACCCAGGTGATGGAGAACAGCCGTGTCCGGGTAGAAACATTCACTGGATTAACACATTTTTACTGCCACAGTCTTTCTGAGAGCTGTAATGTTCCTGCCCGCCTGTGTAGGCCCCATGCCAGCTCAGCCACCGTGGGGTCACTTGGAAAGGGGGCCCCTCAGCAGGCCTCCCCTCCCACTAGGGGGAGGCTTCAATCCCTGTACTCAGAGGTGTTGGAAGCACGTTCCACAGCAGAGCATGTCTCTTCTCCCAGCCACTCCTGCTGCCGGCCCACTCAGAGGAGCCTGTTCCGTGGCAGGCGGCCCTGAGTGCTGCCACTTGCAGTATTGTGAGGAGGCTGCCCGGCCTCTCTCGTGCCCACTGCCCGGGGGCTGCAGTGACAGATGTGTCTCTCACCTCCCTTTCCCCACAGAAACAGAAATAGCCTAGAGCTAGAAAGTAAAACTTCCCTAAATCCCAGAGCAACACCGTCACCTACACTGGCGTCGCCTCTGGCCTGGTTCACTTTCTCTACAGCAGCTTTCAGAGCCCACCTGTCATCTGCTCGCACCTCCCAGATCGCAGGGCAGCATCTCCCAGATGGCTGCAGGGCCCTCTGAGGTCAGGCAACACTCAGTGCCTGGGCTGGCTGTGGACCCAGGCAGGCTGGTCCACCTGGAAGGCCCCGCCACCTGCCACACCCCAGCCTCAGGTGTGGCTGCGCTCACCTGCAGGGCCTTTCCTTGTTTGGGTGGAGGCTATGTTGGCCCTCATCAGTTGTGTTGCCTAGGGGGTGTTCTGCTCTCAGGACCGCACTGGAGGGGTGACCCCAGGCACAGCTTGGCAGGTAAACTGCCAGAGGGGAGCCATGGCGCCTGTGGCCTCCTGAAGGTCCTGTTGCCACAGTCACTGCCAAAAGCATGGCCTTTGTGGCTTCTCAGTGGCCCATGGTCCCAGTGGGGGCTAGGTGGTGTCCACATCCTGTGGTGTCATGTAACTGCCTATGTGGCGACCATGTCTCACACTGCTGGGCATGTGCTGAGGAGGCCAGTCTCCCCGTAGGGCTCCCTGGGGCTGTGGTCAGCCCACTGCTCTCAGCAAGGGTGTGAGAGAGCAAGGTGGGGCAGCCTCAGCCTCACCTGGATATACCATCCCTGGATGCCACCAAGGACCACGACCAGCGTTGCTCCCCACAGGGCAGAACGTCCTGGTGTACCCCCTGCCCCAGATGTCCTTATGCAGCTGTTTCCAGTGTGTCCTAAGGCCGGACGGCCTCGGCCAGCTGTCACCAGGAGAGGAAGACTCGCACTCTCAGAAATAGCCATCTCAGGAGCTGAAACTGTTCACAAGCAGGCATCAGAGCCGGCTTTGATCACGTGATGTGTGATCCTGAATTGGAGGAGTTGCTATGAAGGACTGTGCTGGGACATCTGGCAGAGCTGAGTGTAGACCAGGCACACTCGGCGCCAGCTCAGCAGGGACAGGCAGTCCTCATGGATGTCCTCCTACTGTGGGTGCACACTGAGGTGCTCGGCCGTGGAGCATGACATCTGCAGTTCACTCCAGCAGTGTGTGCGTGTGCACCCCGAGAGTGAGAGGAGACTGCTAAATGTCAGTCACTGGGGAATCTAGAACACACTTTGGCAAACTTTTCCGATGAAAGGTCAGACAGTGACTATTCTTGGCACTGAATCCATACGGCCTGCGCCTTATCACTCAACCCTGCTGTGTAGCAACAGCAGCTATAAATGACACACGAGTGAACAAGTGCGGTTGTGTGCCAAAAAAACTTTATCTACAAAAGTAAGTGGGCCGGATTTGGCCTGAGGGCCATCGCTTGCCGACTGTGTCCTAGAAGGGTGCATTAGAGTTCACTCCTCGTGTAGTTTGGACATCTGTCCCCTCCAGATCCTCTGTGGAAATGTGATCCCCAGGCTGAAAGGGGCCTGGCCAGAGGCATTTGGGCTGTGGGGACAGATCCGTTGGGGACGGCTTGGTACCTTCCTCACAGCAGTGACTTCCCACTCTAGGTTCATGTGAGCGCTAGTTCTTTAAAGCAGTGGTACCCAGCCTTTTTGGCTCCTGGGACCAGTTTTTTCCATGGAGAGGGAGAGTGGGTGGTTTCAGGATGGAACTATTCCACCTCAGATCATTAGGCATTGGATTCTCATAAGGAGCATGCAGCCTCGATCCCTAGTTCACAGTAGGGTTCACGCTCCTATGAGAAGCTGATGCCGCTGCAGATCTGACAGGGGATGGAGCTCGGGGGGCAGTGCTCACTCACCTCCTGCTGTGCGGCCTGTTCTAGCCATGGGCCACTCTGGAGGTTGGGGACTCCTAAAGAGCCTGGTGCCGCCTCTCATGCCTCTTGCTCGCGCTCCTGCTGTGTGGCGCACCTGCTTCCCCTCCTTGCAGCCTTTATAGTAACACAGAATGAACTATCACAGTTCCCAATGCTCACATGCTTCCTCTGTGTCTTAGCATCCTTCAGAATTAGCTGCTGGCAGGGAAGAGCTGGCGCCAGAAGTCAGGAACGCAGGAATTCGGACACAGGAAAGAAACCAGGGGGCGGGGCAGGGAGCTGCTCATGGCAGGTGTCCTCTGCTGTCTGTTGGGATGCGCCGGGGAGGGGGGCGGGTGTGGACACAGCTGTCAGGATGGCCCAGGAGACTGGCATGATGCCCTGGTGATGTCTGCATTTGGTTTGATTTTACTTAAAATAGTATGGTCATCACTTTCCCTGTTACTGCCAATGGGAAGCATTACCTTTAACGCCCACTCAATGACCAATTGAATCGAAAAGGCGCAGGTGACTTATCCGCTTCCCAATGTGGGTATGTGGGCTGTTTTCAACCTAGGTTTTTACAAATAATGCCACAATAAATACCTTTTTCATATTTAGGGCCAATAGGATGGACTCCAGATGCGGAATGACACCTCACCAAGTGCTGGCCCCAGGTCCTGCCCACAGAGACGCCTGCAGCAGCGCACAGCTGGCAGGGCCACCTCCACCTCTCTAGCAGCGGGCAGGTGGGTCCTGATCCTAAACTCACTTTAATCCTATACTTTGACTTCTAGGGTGGAGGTAGGTGGCGAAGAGCACAGCTCTCAAGTCAGGGCACTTGTGCACTTGACCCTTCACTCTGGAGCTCTGGGACCTTTGCCTCAGTTTCCCCAGGTGTGAAATGGTGATGCTGACAATGCTTAACCGCACAGGGTCTCAGGGAATCTAAAGCCTTAATATTGTTGTCATAAGCACAGCGCTGGATCCTGCCAACTGTGTGACCATGTTAGCTCGCCCATGTGCCAGTGTGCTTAATGAGATCAGCTGTTTGTTCACACACATGGGGGTGGCCATGCAAGCTGACAGCCTTGGATACCTTTCCAGGGAAGATGAGGGAGCTGGCTTCAACAAAATCACATGGAAAACTACAAAAAAAGGTACATTGGGCCAGACGCGGTGGCTCACACCTATAATCCCAGTGCTTTGGGAGGCCGAGGCAGGAGGATCACTTGAGGCCAGGAGTTTGAGACCTGCCTCAAGACCCTGTCTCAAAAATAAAAGATACATTTTTTTTTTTTTTTTGAGACAGAGTCTTGCTTTGTTACCCAGGCTGGAGTGTAGTGGCACGATCTTGGCTCACTGCAACCTCTGCCTCCGGGTTCAAGCGATTCTCCTCTCTCAGCCTTCTCAGAAGCTGGGATTATAGGCACGCACCACCATGCCCAGCTAATTTTTTGTATTTTAGTAGAGACAGGGTTTCGCCATCTTGGTCAGGCTGGTATTGAACTCCTGACCTTGTGATCTGCCTGCCTCGGCCTCCCAAAGTTCTGGGATTACCGGCATAAGCCACTGAGTCCAGCCAAAGATACGTTTTTTTTTTTATGTACTTGGAAATTTTCTTTTTTTGAGACAGAGTTTTGTGTTTGTTGCCCAGGCTGGAGTGCGGTGATATGATCTTGGCTCACTACAACCTCCGCCTCGCCAGTTCAAGTGATTATCTTGCCTCAGCCTCCCAAGTGGCTGGAATTATAGCTGCCCACCACCACACCCAGCTAATGTTTTGTATTTTTAGTAGAGATGGGGTTTTATCATGTTCCCCAGGCTGGTCTTGAACTCCTGACCTCAAGTGATCTGCCCTCCTCAGCCTCCCAAAGTGCTGGGATTACAGGTGTGAGCCCCCATGTTTGGCCTGGAAATTTTTTTTAACATTTATGGTTATGAGAAAAAACGCACAACCAAACCAAACCAGTCTGCCATCTTTTTTGCCCCTATCATTTGGCACAAGACAGTTGAACTCTTGACATCACAACAAGACCAAGAACTGAAGCCAGGCCTTCTAGGCTGAGCTCTGCTTTGGTGTTTTGTTGTCTAAATGAAGCTCATATTCCAGGAAGAGAAAATCTAAATGACCTAAGTCAAAGAAAAAACAATGAAAGTTATAAAACACTTAAAGCTCAGTGATCATGTGACTTAACAGAGCGCCTGAGGCAGCAGAAGCCAAGGGCAGGGTCCAGCCCAGCGTGCCTCTGTTGCTGTTAGGAGAGGAGCTGGGAGTCAGGAGGGAAGTACCCGGTGTAACAGGTAGAAAAAGAAGGCCGGGCTCAGTGGCTCACACCTGTAATCCAAAGGCAGGTGGATCATGTCAAGACCAGCCTGACCAACATGGTGAAACCCTGTCTCTACTACAAATACAAAAATTAGCTGGGTATGGTGGTACATGCCTGTAATCCCAGGTACTCAGGAGGCTGAGGCAGGAGAATTGCTTGAACCCGGGAGGTGGAGTTTGCAGTGAGCCAAGATCACGCCACTGCACTTCAGCCTGGGCAACAAGAGCAAAACTCCGTCTCAAAAGAGAGAAAGAAAGAAAGACGGGGGAGAGAGAGAGAGAGAGAGGCCAAACAAGCTCCCAATGGAAAGGAGGAAATTAATAAAGTCACTTTTTAATACAATTGACGGCAACAGACATCCTTGAGAGGACAGAAGAGCTAAGAGTTGGTTCTTTGAAAGAACTATTAAAATTGACATTCTCATGGCCGGGCGCGGTGGCTCACACCTGTAATCCCAGCACTTTGGGAGGCCGAGGCGGGTGGATCACGAGGTCAAGAGATCGAGACCATCCTGGTCAACACGGTGAAACCCCGTCTCTACTAAAACTACAAAAAATTGGCTGGGCATGGTGGCGTGTGCCTGTAATCCCAGCTACTCAGGAGGCTGAGGCAGGAGAATTGTCTGAACCCAGGAGGCGGAGGTTGCGGTGAGCCGAGATGGCGCCATTGCACTCCAGCCTGGGTAACAAGCAAAACTCCGTCTCAAAAAAAAAAAAAAAAATTGACATCCTCTGCCAAAATGACCAAGACAAAGAGAAGGAGCAAATCAACCATTAGGAATGGGAAGGGAGGACCATTCAGCCACATCCGACGCTGAAAAGGTGAGAAAGCCCTGTGCTGACGAAGTGAGAACTCCACCGTCACAGCTGGGCCGTGGGAGGACGGTCACGTGGCAGCCCAGCTCGAGGAGACCCACAGAACCCACAGCTGTTACAGACATTGTGTGGATGGTTCTCAGTCTTCCCAAAGAAGACCAAGTTCAGGTGCTTTGCAAGTGAGTTCAAGAAACAGAGAACTCCAGTTTTACCCAGACAAGAAACACATGCTGTGTCATCTTATGAAGCTAGTATAATCTGGATATCAAAATTCCAGTTAAGTGTCAGTCATACACATGTACATGAAGAAAGGTACCAAGCACTTGCAGGCCAGGCACTGGCTCACGCCTGTAATCCCAGCATGTCGGGAGGCCAAGGTAGGAGGATCAGTTGAGCGCAGGAGTTTGAGAGCAGCCTGGGCAACGTAGATTTCATTTCTAATAAAAATTTAAAATTAGGTGCGGTGGGGTGCGCCTAGGTCCCATATACTTGGAAGGCTGAGGCAGGAGGATCAGTTGAGCCTGGGAAGTGGAAGCTTCAGTGAACTGTGATTGTACCACTGCAGTCTGTCCTGTAAATGTGAGCAGGAGTGGTGGACGCCTCTTCCAGGGCCGGCCTCCTGAATGTTCCTGTGATCATCCACTCTCCTCCCTTCCTGCGACTTAAAGAGAAGGACTCTGAGATGGCAAAGCCACACACCAAGGGAAGGAGCTGTGTCCTGGAGTCGCCCCCAGGAGAGCCTCAAGACCCCATTGTGATGTGAGCCAGAAGTGAAGCCTTCCCGAGCAAGACGCTGAGATTCGGAGGTTCTCTTATCCCAGCCACCGTTACCTACCCTGACCACTGCAGCCACAAACGACACGCGTTCAGAATGTGTGCAGCATTCATAAGAACCAGGATTTTTAAAGACAAATAGAAAAATGACCAGAACAGGAGTTCACGAACGGCTAAGCAACACAGTGAGACCCCATCTCTAGAAAAAAGAAAAATGGGCAGAAGTCACAGAAGAAAACACGCATGGCTCATAAATACCTGAAAACATTCGCGGTCTCTAACAAGGAGCATGAAAACATGCGCACGCAGTCTCTAACAGGGAGCACGGAAAACATGCCCAGTCTCTAACAGGGGGAATGGGAAACATGCAAGGTCTTTTAACCGTCAGGGAGCACGGAAAACGTTCCCAGTCTCTAACAGTCAGGGAGCACGGAAAACGTGCGCGGTCTCTAACAGGGAGAATGGGAAACATGTGAGGTCTCTAACAGGGAACACAGAAAACATGCGCGGTCTCTAACAGGGAGCACGGAAAACATGCGCGGTCTCTAACAGGGAGAATGGGAAACATGCGAGGTCTCTTAACAGTCAGGAAGCACGGAAAACGTGCGCAGTCTCTAACAGGGAGAATGGGAAACATGTGAGGTCTCTAACAGGGAACACAGAAAACGTGCGCGGTCTCTAACAGGGAGCATGGAAAACATGCGCGGTCTCTAACAGGGAGAATGGGAAACATGCGAGGTCTCTAACAGGGAGCACGGAAAACGTGCGCGGTCTCTAACAGTCGGGGAGCACAGAAAACATGCGGGGTCTCTAACGGAGCACAAGTTAAAACAACAAAGAGACCCAGTTTTGTGCCCCCAGTGAGGTAAAGACGGACAACTCTGATCATGGCATGGACGGGGCAGGAGCCCTCCTCACCGCCACAGCGCTGGGCGGCAGCACACGTCTAGAGAGCAGTCTGGCAAAGGTGAAGACGTGCGTTCCTGCTCCCAGGAGCCACCTGTTTACTTCCCCTTGAGAAACGTGCATGCACGCAGCCAGAGACAAAATAACATTCACGGTGTGTGCTCTCAGAAAAGCCAGAAAGAACCCACATGACTGTCCGCAGCAAAGCGGGTAAATCGTGGTGTGTCGACCAAGGGAAGCTGTTGGCACAGTGACCGCGCAGCTGGCCAGGACCCGCGTCAACACCTACGCGTGCCAGCTTCAACAGAGAGCAGAGAATGTAAGGCACAGAAGACACACGGTGCCATTCTAACCACCGCAATGTTCAAACCGAGCAAAGCTAAACAGTATATGGTTTGGGGTCACGTGGTAGAACTGTAGAGAAGAGCAAAGCATGGTTCATGCGGAACTCAGGACGGGCGGGCACAGGGCATGGGCTCTTGGGTGGTGTCTGGCTCTGAAACCGATGGAGGGTGAGTGGGCATTTGCTGTAGGTGCTTCAAGGATCATATCATGTACACTCAGCTTACCCGTCTGACACCCTCCCCGCATCCTAAAGGCTTTTAGGAAAGAGGAAGCACTTCCTCCTGAAGTTGGTGCCATCCAGGCCTGGGGTGCACAGGCCTAACACCCGCTCCACACCCCCACTGATCCGAGGCCCCCACCTGGCCTCCGTCTCCTGCAGGTGCCTGTTTCCAGCCCAGGCAGTTCTCTTGCTTTCATGGTGTGGTCCTTACCAGCAGAGGAACCAGGTAATAACTGCACTTCTCACGTACTCAGAGATGTTTCTCGTCCTTTTCAGGCTGGTAGAGCAGATTAGCCCCAAAGCAGGAAATTCCAGATGAAATATGCATAAGAAGCAGCCTCAAAACTAACAAAAAGAAATTGCCTGCTCCTCAGTTCACAGGAGGAGCAGAGATGAAGAAAAAAAAAGCGCTTGGAAGAGAGAAAAGGAAGCTCCTTCTGCGCAGCGGGCTCCTGGCCCGGGAAGGGTGGTCTGCAGCAGAGTGCGTGCAGGGAGGCACCCTCTGAAACGTCTGGAAATAGCTGCAGGCCTTCCACTTGGCTCCCAAACTTCTTCAGAGTCCAAATCACCACAGTGGCCAACTTGGCGGCAGTGACCTCGGCACTCCGTGTCCTCAGGCTGCAACAAAGCCATCCTACTTGGGCAGTGAGAACATGGGGCGGGGGCTCCTGACTCCAGTGAGGCCACCCTGGAGGGGAGTCCCAGGCATCAACCTGATGTTCAGAACCTTCCTGGCATCTCAGAAATGTACTGGGGAGACTGAGGATCCTTGAGCCAAGTGTCCGTGTTCTCATTGAACGTCAAACCCACAGCCCACAAGCTTCTCAGGAGCATGGCACATGCACCCAGCCCCCAGGCTCTGCCTGGGCAGCACCTCCTGGGCCGCCCTGACCAGCAGACACCACCCGCCCAGCCTCACTTGGCCATCCTGACAGGCACCGTCTACCCAGCCTCGCTCGGCCGCCCTGACCAGTTGGCATCATCTACCCAGCCTCATTTGGCCGGCCAGGCTCTGCGGGCCTGAGAATGCAGAGAACCTCCAAATGTTGTGACTTTGCTCTGTGCGTCCTTTGTGCAAGCATTTGTGAGCTATGCCAGCATCTGTCCCCAAAGGCCTCATCCCTGAGCCAATTCTCAGGAGAGCAGTAAGTGGGTACAGGGAGGGGGGCTCCCAGCCAGCCCCAGGACTGGAGGTCTGGGGACGACGCCAGCCGCTCTGGCAGAGCCCTCCTCATCGGGGCCTCTGTTCCTTTTCCACACCGGGAAGCAGAAAGGTCGATCAGCGACTTAGGCCTGTTGGCTCTGGCGGGGTTCACCTGCGTTTCTGGGGAGCCCTGGGTGCACCTGGGCTTTGTGTCCAGTGATCTCTCCTATGGGTCCCCGTTTTGGGCACTGAAATGTTTCTTTCCTGTGAATGAGCTGATGTCAAAACCTGCTATAGAGGAAGACGGGCCTTGGGGGCAGTGTCTCCAGGGGAGCAGAGCTGAGGCAATGGCGGGCAGGGTGTCTCCAGGGACTAGGGAAGATGGGGTGTGCTCCAGATCAGCCGGCAGGGAGCCCCAGGCCTGCAGAGCCTGGTGTTGGCGCTCTCCTGTTTCCTCCAAAAACCCAGCCATGTGTTCAGGGAGCCCGGCCCAAGCAGACAGCCCCCACCTTGGCACAATCCCCAGGACTGTGCATGGTGGTGGGGGTGACTCCACAGCTGGGACCGGGCCTGATGCTGCTGTCCCTCAGTCACCCCTGCAAGGGGCTCAGGGCAGGGCTCCGGCCTGATGGGGGATCCTGGACGCACCTCTGAGCCGGCAGCCCCTACCCCCACCCACACACCTGCACCTTCACGCCTGTCTCACCCTGGGGCCCAGGTGCAGGTTTGTGGGGAGCGCAGCGCAGTGTTCCCATGACCTCTGCTCAGCCGAGTAGATTCAGTGAGGGTTTTCCATTTGCACCTGTCCCCATGTGCCTGTTTCCTGGTGAGGCTGGACGCCCAGCATGGCCGAACACTCCCGTTCCCCAGGCACGCATGTGCAGCGGCCGCCACGCGTGCACTGTGACGCTGACCCCCCGTAATAGCCGCGGTATTGGCCTTGCACTGGTGGCAGATGTTGTCCCGTTTCCCACTGTTACTTCTGTTGTCTGAAAGTTTGACCGTCCTGCCAGCCAAAGCTGTTGAGCTTTACTCTGACAGACCATCTGTTCTTCGTGAGCACCCTGTGCATTTGGGAAAAGCATCCACTTGTTTTCAGCCATGTTTCCTGTGACTTGCACTGCGTGTGTCCTCCTCTGTCTTCTGTGGTTCCCAGGCGGGCCCACCTGCCCACTGCTGACGCTTGCCTTCCCTGCTGCTTGCTGGCTTCTGTGTTCTCTGCAGTAAACATGGATTTCTGACTCGAGTGCTGTCTTTCATTGATCTCTGCACTTTGGGGATGCAGTCAACATCCCCCATGAAGGCTACCAGCTTCCTCCTCCCAGGGAACAGTGCAGGGGCCGCTTCCCAGGCCCTCAGGACTATGGGACCCTGGCTGATGGCTGCCTCCAATGGGTCTCCTCAGGACCCCGGGACCCTGGGTAGTCACTGCCTCTGATGGGTCTCCCCAGGACCCCGGACCCTGGGTAGTCACTGCCTCTGATGGGTCTCCCCAGGACCCCGGACCCTGGGTAGTCACTGCCTCTGACGGGTCTCCCCAGGACCACCCCCTATTAGCCAGACTCACAGGAGACTGACACATACATCAGAGAGTTGTTCACTAATGATGGGAGCAGCCCCTTTTCAGTGCGGAAATACCCTCACACCTTTCTGGCCCCAGAGACCTGGGAAGCTAAGGGTTCATTCAGTGGCCTAAGTGCCCGCTCTCAGGACGCCCCACAGGAGGCCTGGGGGTGCTGAACGCCTTCCCGAGGCCCTGTCATCAGGCCCTCTGAATTCCAAACAGCTCTCGGGTTTGTCTGGTCCTCTGTTCCCTGGCTCACGTTAGGGCAGTTGCTCTCAACCAAGGGCACTTCTGCCCCCTGGGGGCCACCCAGCAATGTCCGAGACAGTGTTGGCAGGCACAGCTGGGCAGGGTCCCTCCAGAATCTGGTGCGCAGAAGTGGGGGTGTGCAGGTATCCTGCCCAGATGCCAACAGTGCCCCGGTGAGAGATACAGATTTAGTCTCCGTGACAACGAAGGAAAGGACCGGAAAGGTGGCTCTCAAGGCCCCAGAGAATAGCCCAGAGATGCCCGAGGTTCCAGAACCTGGAAAGGCGCGGAGCGGTCGCTCCTACAGAAACACGCCTCTGTGGTGGCTGGAGATGTGAGGACTGGTGATGCCTTCACACATGTGACCAGACCCCCCCCAGCTCTCCTTCCCCCGCAACCAGGCCAGCAAGGCAACGCAGAGGCCGGCTTGGCAGGATGGCAGCTGATGAGAGGCATGCGCGCTCCACTTCCTTTCTCCACTTGAGGACAACACCCAGGTGGCCCTCGTCTCTGCCCCACCCACCCCGGCCTAAAGCTTCCTCATCTGCATCCCGGCCTGGGACTCAGGAGGCTTTCTCTGTCCACCGCCAGCTGTGTCACGTGCAGGGGACTGCAGCCACTGACCCCCTCTCCCTTCTGTCCTGCTCTCCTCTACCCCACAACCCCAGGTGGATCTTACAGTGCGTGCCGGCTCTCCTCCCTCCCTCCCTCCCTGCAGACCCCTGTGCCCCACAGTGCCCTGAGAATGATGTCTGAGCCCCCAGTGGAGGCTACAAGGCCGCTGAGTCTGTCCATCCCTGTCTGTCCTCTTGTTCACCACCCTCCCCCGCCTGGTCTTCCAAACTCAAGCCCCAGGCCACTCAGACCTCTGCCCGTGCGCCTCCTGCCCAGTGTGCCCCTCTTCCCTTCTGCCGCCTCCCCTCCCTCCTTCCTGCCCCCACCCCATCTCTCCCTAATGCTGCCCCTTAGAGAAGCCTTCTTGAACCTCACGCTTAAGTGCTCCTCTGAGCCCCTAGTCTCCAGGTGTGATCTAGGAAAAGCTCTCAAGCCTCATACTCCATTGGCTCCGGGGCTCTGACTAGCCCTCCTGCCAGGGAAGCTTTGTCTCTAGGGACCACTAGAGACAAGGGCACTGCCTGTCCAGATAGCACCCAACGCCAGCAGCACTGGCTGGAGCAGGCCAGGCCTGTGCAGGTATCTGATCGGGCACTGAATTCCCTGATCTCAACAAAAGAAGCCTATGGAGGCCTTTTCTAATTCACAGCCCAAGAGGGCAGGCAACGGGCCTGGGGGGCTTTGGGCCAACTCCCACAACTTAAGACCAGGGGCTCTGGGGTTGTGTGGGCTCGAACCCCCATCCCCCAGCATAAGGAATACCAGCTCATTATTGCAGTGAATGCCCAACAGAGCCCTGCTGGAGGCGAGGAGCAGGAACCTGCAACCGCAGCAGACCCGGCTGCTGGCTCTGGGCTGATTATATCAGCAGGCCCGCACTCCCTCCAGAGCCCTGCCCATCACCTTCACACCTCCCTGGTGGGGAAGCAGGTTCTTCCCCTCAGATCACACCTATTCCCTTCTCCCTTCACTCCTGTGAGCCAGCCAGGATGAGGATCTGTCCAAGCGTCCTGGGGAGTGAGGCGCCCCATGGCTCCTCATGGGTCAGCCGACATGGGCGGCAGCTTCAGTGACTCACTTCCTGTGATTCGCTGGATGCAGGGGGAGCTGGTGACAGCAGCCTGTGTGTGACAGAACGTCAAGAACTGTATACAGACACACAGCTGCCCCCAAAATTGAGTGCACAGCCCAGTGCACTAAGTGCACACAGCGCGGTGCAATGCGGCTGCAGCCTGTGACCGAGTCAGTTGCGCCGTCTGCCGCTCTCCTGGTGTAGGCTCTGTGTCCATTTGCACTGCTGTGAAGCAAGACCTGAGGCTGGGCCAGTTACAGAGAAAAGAGGCGCCAGGTGCGGCAGCTCATGCCGGTTATCCCAGCACTTTGGGAGGCCGAGGTGGGTGGATCACCTGAGGTCAGGTGTAGGGCTGTTGGCCCCACAGGGTCATGGGGTGTCCCTTATGCTGTGCTGAGGTGCAGGATCTGAGAAGTAGAGACAGGACACTGAAGAACTGGAGAAGAGCATCTGGACTCGGGGGGCCACGCCACCTATGAGCAGAGACAGGCGAGGCCCCGAACGCTCAGAAGCATCTGCATTTATTAGGTACAAGCAGGGGGCAGGGTCGTGAGAGAGGTCATCATCTATAGGCTTAGTGATAGGGCATACATAATCACAATCACGTGAGTCACAAGCAAGGGGGCCACCCCATTATGTCACCTGGGCAGAGACGTGGGCCGTGCACACTAGGGGGCTGTGCCGTGCACAGTAATAGAGGGTCATGTATAGAAAAGGGGTCCACCCCCATTAGGTCACCAAGGCAAGGAGGTGGGCTGGGTGCAACAGGTGTCGTGCGCAACACTTCTTATCTGGGGTTTGGAGCCTTCAAAGGGTTTCTAACAGAAGGATACTATAAGCCAATGCAGTGGGAGCTGACAGACACTTAAGATATTTATGGGAGGATGATTTGAGCTAGCACAGAAGTGAGAAAAGACTGACAGGGTGTCCAGCCGCCCTGACTGGTCACACAGAGGGGTTCCTCTCCCTCGGTTACTTCCAGGATCTCAGGCCTGAGGTCTGCTTTCCACAGGAACTGGATGCAAGGTGCTACAACTCCTTTATCAGGAGGAGAGGCTCCTGCTCCAAGCCTGCCATACAGCGTGTGCCCTTTCAGGCAGTGACGCCACCGCGTGGGTCTTTGGTTCTCGTCCTGGTCTGCCTGTTTTCCCATGTACTGCTTCTGTTCTGTGACTGCTCTAGGGAGTCCTCCTACTACAGACTACTATGTGGTTCTATGGAAGGATTCTATAAATCAGCACTGAATGTGTCGGTACAGCTCCGACTACATCCATTATATGATTATACAGAAAGATTATATGGAACTAAGCATGATTATATATACATAAGCTAGATATAGTAAGCAGTGAGTTATTACATGATTATAGAAAGATTATATGGGACTAAGCATGATTATATATAAGGTAGATATAGTGAGCAGTGAGTTATACTTCAGGCACTAATTGTGCCTGGGGGCTGCACAGTTCTCCTTCCTCGGTGCCCATGGGGGTTGTTACCCACAAGAGCGCAGCCCCCAGCTCCCACAGGCTCTGTTCGCACTGGCAGTCTTGGCTTTTCTTCTGTGATTCCATTTTATTTTATTATGTGTGTAAATATGTATATATGTGTGTGTGTGTGTGTATATATATTTGAGACAGAGTCTTGCTCTGTCACCCAGGCTGGAGCGCAGTGGCATGATCTCGACTCACTGAAACCTCCACCTCCTGAGTTCAAGCAATTCTTCTGCCTCAGCCTCCTGAGTAGCTGGGATTACAGCAAAGCTTCCGTTCCCATTAGGTCATTGAGGCAAGGGTTGTGTGCAGTAAGGGGTCCACCCCCATTAGGTCACCGAGGCATGGAGGTGGGCCGTGCGCAGTGAAGAGGGTGCAGTGGGCACTACCTCTATCTATGGGTATGCTACTTCTAAGAAGATTTATAGGAGGACGCTTAAGTCACACAGCAGTGACAGAGCTGTCACGGTTACCGCCACGTGGCAGCTTCCAGTGGGTTCTACGGGAAGATGCTTTACAAGCAGCACAATAGCAAGAGCTGATAAAGTTCACAGTCACCAAGGTGGATCGCCGGTCTGAGGACGGCCTTCCACAAGAACGGGAGCAAGGTCCTACAACTCCTTTATCAGGAGGAGTGGCTCTCGCCCCAAGCCTGCCATACAGCGGGTATCTTTATGATACTGAACACTGCCACCTGGGCCATGGATTCTTGTCCTGGTATAACTGTTTTCCCTTAAATCATGCTCTGCACTGTGTCTGCTCCAGACATTCCTCTGACTATAAGCTGCTTAGTCCTTAATTCATGCTCTGTACTGTGTCTGCTCTAGACACTCCTCCGATTATGAACTAACATATATATGGAAATAACTGAGCGGCAAGACTATAAACTGAGATATTCTTCAGATCTTAATTGTGCCAGGATATTGCTTAGCTCTCCTTCCTTGGTGCCTATATGGTGGGTTACCCACAAGAACTCACTCATCACCAAAGGGAGGGCACCCAGCCACGCATGAGGGATTTCCCCCCAGGACCCAAACATTTCCCACCCACCCCAACATCAGGATCAGGGACCACATTCCCACATGAGATTTGCAGGGGCTCACCTCCAAACAGTATCAGGTATAGTTCTAGTTCTTTTTTTTTTTTTTTTGAAACACAGTCTCTGTCACCCAGGCTGGAGTACAATGATACAATCTCGGATCACTGCAATCTCTGCCTCCTGGGTTCAAGTGATTCTCCTGCCTCAGCCTCCTGAGTAGCTGGGATTACAGGCATGCACCACCACGCCCAGCTAATTTTGTATTTTTGTAGAGATGGGGTTTCACCATGTTGACCACGCTGGCTTTGAACTCCTGACCTTGTGATCCACCCACCTCGGACCCCCTAAGTGCTGGAATGACAGGCGCGAGCCTCCGCAGCTGGCCAGATGCAGTGCTGGTTCCTCAGGCTGTTCCAGGCTGGGGCTCTTACGATAAGACCACTGTGAGCGCGCAGGCACAGACTTCCCCACGAACATCAGTTTCCACCCAAGAGTGACACACTCAGTCCTATGGTAGTTTTGCTTAGAACTTTTTTTTTTTTTTTTCTCTGAAACCAAGTTGTTGCTCTTGTTGCCCAGGCTGAAGTGCAGTGGTGTGATCTGAGCTCACTGCAACCTCCGCCTCCTGGGTTCAAGTGATTCTCCTGCCTCAGCCTCCCGAGTACCTGGGATTACAGGCATGCACCACCATGCCCGGCTAATTTTGTATTTTTAGTAGAGACGGGTTTCTCCATGTTGGTCAGGCTGGTCTTGGACTCCCAGGTGATCTTGAACCTCACGTGATCCACCTGCCTCGGCCTCCCAGAGTGCTGGAATTACAGGTGTGAGCCACCGCACCAGGCCCTACTCATAACTTCTTAAGAAACTGCCAAGCCGATTTCCAGAATGGCAGCACCACCTTGTCTTCCCACCAGTGATGTCCAGAGTTCCGGCTGCTCCGAGACCTTGGTGATGTTTGGCACTTAGCAGTTTTTACCTGAGCCACCTGGCAGCTGTGCCAGGCACCCATCTCGCCGCTGGCTGGCCCTTCCCTGGCAGCCATCTCTTCCCGAGCCTACTGCTCTCCCCAGCTCCTGTCCAAGCCTTGGTCACCTCGGCCCAGCATCTTCTGCACCCCATCGACCTGGGGGCTCCTTCTCTGCTCACACAGCCCTGAGCGCCCACCCTGGCACCAGGCAGCTGCTGCCCATCTGCAGGCTGCCCGCCCTCTGTTCCCGCGCCCCTCCAGCTTGGGGGTCTCCTGGCCTTCGCTCTCTGCACCTCTGCTCAAATGGGGCAAAGAACCCTCCCCCGGCCGTTTATTTTTCCCAGAAAGAAGTGACCATTTTTTCTTTTCGGGTCGGAAGCACAGGACTGAGGGAGACACTGGCTGAACAAGAGGAAAATGAGGAAGCAGCCCGTGGAGGGACTTTGGGGAACCCGGGGACGCCCCTGGAGGGCAGGCAGATTCGGGGGCGCCGGGGCCCCCGCGAGGGGAACGGGCGGTCGCGCGTCTGGCAGCGGTTCCCGGCGGCTGGTGGCCATCGCGGCGGACACATCCCGAGCTGGGAACCCGGGAGGGCGGCGGGGTGGCCTCGCGAGGTGAACGTGGAAGCGCCTGCAGCCGAGAACTCCGGGGCCTGCCGTGCACGGAGGGGCCGCGGGCAGCGTGGGGACCGCGCCGGCAGCTCCCGAAGCCCGGGCCTGGGCGCGCGCACGAGCGCCGGGCCCCCAGCTGGCTCCCGGCGCTGCAGGGCCGGCGTCAGGAAGAGAGCTCCGCGGCCCCGGCCTCCCACGCAGCGCCGCTCCCGGCGCCCCGGCGCTCTGCAAGCGCGGGCGGGATCCGGGCCCGCGTGGACGCGGAAGCCACGCTCGGGCGCGGCCCACGAGGGGCGGGGCGGGGCCTCCTCTTGGCTCCCTGCCCCGCCCCCACGCGGCCACCGAGGCTTGCGGTCCTCCCGAGTCCCAGAGCGCCCCGGAAGTGCGCGCCGGTCGGGCGGAGTGGGGCGGGGCCGGGCACTTCCGGCCGGCGCGCGGCGGCTTCCTCCCGCTCGGAAGGTGAGTGGGCGCGGGCGGCGGCGGCGGCGGTGGCGGCTCCGGGCGCCCGGAACCAGCCCAGTCCGAGCTCGCGCACCGTTCTCCGCGGTGCAGCCCCGCCCAGCCGGGCAGTGCCGCCCTTGCAGCCGCCGCTTGCCGTGACCTTGGCCTCGGGCCGGTCCCGGGGAGCGGGGTGGGCTTCTGAGGGTGGTCGCGGGGCAGCAGCGGACCCCCCCAGCCCACTGGCCGTGGCGGTCGCGGGTGTCCGTTCTCAGAGCGCCTTTCCCAGGCACCCGGTGAAGGCAGCTGTCGTCGTCCCCATTCTGCAGATGGGAAACTGAGGCCCGGAGGTCCCGCCACTCGGGAGCGTGGAGCAGCCGGACCCCAGCGCAGCACTGCCGGGCAGACGCGCTCTGCGCCGAGCTCCCGGCGATCGGGCCCGCTCCCCCGCGGCTGGGAACCGAGGGGCGGAGATGCTTCCCCCGGGCCGCTGGCAGGAGTGCCCCCTCCCCCTTCAGCCTGGAGCTCAGAGTTGTGCGTCCGTGGTGGTAAAGGGGCGTCTACCCTGTGACGGCCGCCTCCGCCCAGTCCTGGGGGCCCAGCCAGGGTCGGGGTGATCTAGCAGGCCCTTTTACCAGATGTCCCCAAAAGTTGGCTAAGTAACTTGAGATGTGACTTCAGGGTGGAGGACCTGCGCCCAGAGTCACGCCTGCAGCCCCACCCTGTGTCCACTTCCCCCGGCGGCCCGACCCTTCCCACCATTAGGGGATGGAGGCTGGCCCAGTGGCCGGGCACTGGGGTGGCGGCCGTGTGGGAACTGCCTCTCCCACTTCCTCCAGGCAGGCACTGTCTGCTGTCCTTAGATCTGAGTCTCCGTTAACTTTTGTCCGTTCTTCCCGTTCCTTTCTTCACTCCCTGCCCCAGATAAGGAGTTCCTACTCTAGCACCGTGTGAAAGAAAAGTCACTTCTCACACTGGACTCAAGCCATTTTTGCAAACCAAACTAAGAAGTATCTTGGAGCCCTGAGTGAGTCTCCCAGGGCTGTGGCAGGGCTGGGCGAGAGGTACCAGCCTGCAGCCTCTGAGGACTCTGTTAGTGTCTGAGGAAGAGGGTTCCCCTGTCTGGAAATGCCTCTCCTCTGCTGTTCAGGAAAAGCCTTGCTAAGATTTTCTCCAAAACACTCATGCGCCAGCAGGCATATTTCGGTTTTCAGCCCTCCCACAGGCCAGAGCAACTGAGGTTTTTCTGGAAGACGCCATCTGCCTTTCTCTGGGGGAGGGGTGACGCCATGGGTTGGAAGGAGATGCCAGAGCCTATGCTGGGACAGGAGCTTTGCTTCAGCAGGTCTGCTGTGCTGCCCAGGCAGTGGCCACTTCCTACGAGTTCCTTCCAAAGCTGTTTTTTCTTTCTTTTGAGACCGAGTTTACTCTTATCGCCCAGGCTGGAGTACAACGGCAGGATCTCAGCCCACTACACCCTCCACCTGGGCTCAAGTGGCTCTCCTTCCTCAGCCTCCCAAGTAGCTGGGATTACAGGCACCTGCAACTGTGCCTGGCTAATTTTTGTATTTTTAGTAGAGATCGGGTTTTACCATTTAGCCAGGCTGGTCTTGAACTCCAGACTTTGTGATCCACCTGCCTCGGCCTCCCTAAGTGCTGGGATTTCAGGTGTGAGCCACTGCGCCCAGGCACTCAAAGAGTTATTCCTTACTGGATAAACGTGCCGAGTCCCCAGACTGCCAGGAACACCAGGCCTGTGTGTGCCTGTGGGTTCACCCTCCGTCCTTGCTCCTCCTGGAGTGGAGGAGCCTCCGTCTCCCCTGGGAGCTGGCATGCTGCCTCCTCCTGCACTGCCCCACATTCTCTCCACCCCTCATCTGCCATGCTTTTCATTTTCCCCAGGTCCCAGGTGTGACACCTTCAGCAGGTCTCAGGGAAGATGGCAGCCCCAGGGGACATTCCAGAGTCCCCCTCTGTCCCATCCCCTGTCAGTCTTTCATCACCAGGGACACCGGGAACCCAGCACCACGAGCCTCGACTTCTCCTCCGTGGGCATCAACATGGTACTCACCCGCCTGCCGTGTGCCCTCCGCCCTGCATCCCCTGTCCACATCTCTTGCCCCGTCTCCTTCTGACCTGCCACTCTGGCTGGCTAAGAGGTGCCTCCAGACAGACACCTGTGTAGCTCTTTGAGCAGCTGAGGCTCCCACACCCTCAGGCTGGGGCTGGGCACGGATCGGATCGGATCGGGTTGGGTTGGGGCTGGGGCTCTGGCTTCCTAGGCATGGCTCCCCCCATTCTGTTTGTTTCCTGAGTTGGGGTATAGGAGGGAAAGTGACCTCAAAATCTGGGTCCAGCATGTCCGGGAGCTCTCTCCCGTCGGAGTCTTTGTCATGCAGAAATGGAGCGGCCATAGTCTCTGCCAAGCTGGTTTGGGTGTGATCACCGCTGGCCTTGCTCCACCCCCAATGGGGTGGCCTCATGGTCACATGGCAGGCTCTGGAAGTTGAGGTGTGGGGGAGTCCCAGCCCTGTGGTACCCGGGCTTTGTTCCCTGTCAGAGGTCAGCGACCCTGAGACTCCATCTCTGCTGTGTGTCCCACAGGAGGCCTGGCCTACAGCCCCATGGCCCAACCCAGCACCTGAGCTGCTGACAGCAGGGGCAAGGCCCCACATAGGTCAGGCCTGGAGAGCCGGTGCCTGGCCCAGGAACAGGGGCAGCCTGGCACAAGGCTCTCCCTCTTGGGGAGTTGGGGTCCTGGTGGCTGAAGGGACCGCTGAGGCTTGTGGAGAGCAGCTGCGCTGCATGGGGCCCTCAGGTGGGCACTCAGATAGGGACAGAGAGGACAGGGGGCTCCCCCGAGGAGCCAGGACCAGGGTGAGTTGGAGGAACAGGGAGCCAGCTGGCTTGGGATCCACTCCCCCAAGGAGCAGAAGCCTGCAGGCATGCCGTCTCTGCTGCTGTGTCCTGAGCAGCTCCCCTGGGACTGCGAGGAGGCCGGGAAGAGGCACCCACGGGCTGCCTGTCCTGGCCAGGGGCTACCTGGAAGGATCCCAGGCCACCACAGCACACGCTGTGCCAGGCCGTGGCTGGGCCCCCACCCATGCCCCCAAGGACTGTGCTCCTCATCCCTCGCTCAGTCAGAATCTCAGGGCCGCACTTGGCATCTCATGTCACCTGTAGACAGCTGAGGGGAGTCTTCCAGTCCTGTTACCAGTGGGGACATGGAAGCCCAGAGGCTGGCAGAATTCACTCTGCATCCATCTGACTCAGGCCACGCCCTGGCAACCCCCCTGGGTCAGGCGAGATGTGGCTCCTCTAGGGGGCCCATCTGAGTGAGGACAGCCCAGCAGATCATCTTGGGGCAGTACAGGACACAGGCTGAGGGGGACTGCAGTCCGGGTTCTGCAGGATAAGAAGCTGATGCCCAGGCGGAGGCTGGGCCTAGGGCTCGTGGAGGGGCTGGGGCCAGGCCCCCTGAGCATGCAGGGCTGCACTACCCCCGGCCCTGTCTCCACCAGCCATGGGCAGCCTGGCCCAGAAAACTAGGCATGGGTCGCCACCTCCACAGGCCTGGAAGCCTCCTGGGCACTGGAGCCACTGCCCAGTGCCCTGAAACCCCCAGGGTTCTGCCTCGAAGGAGGGAGTGGGGGCTGCACCCACAGCTTCCACCCTCCCCTGCTGTGCCGGAAACAGGACACAGGTGTGGCTGCTTCCCCGCAGGAGGAGATTGTGACAGAGGCACAGTGGGGCCTGGGAAGGCTGGCAGGTAACCAGAGCAGATGAGGGGTGACCCCCGTGTAGAGAGAACGGGGCCAGGCCTCGGCGATGGGCGGCTCCTGTCCCAACTTCCAAGCAGTCAGTGAAGGCAGGAGCTGCCTCTGGGAGTTTCCAGCTTCCTCTGCTCTCTGGGAATGCCCGGGGCCACAGATTCGTGAGCCAGGGATACCTTGGTGTTTCTGGAACTTGCCCAGGGCCACTCCACCAGTTAGGGGCCAAGCCAGAACTTGGAGCCGCAGCCTCCCGATGGCCAGGCGAAGTCTGCAGTGGCCAGACCAAGGTTCCCTGGGGCCGCCCAGGCACACGTCACCTCAGCAGCCTCTGGCTGCACTGCTGGGCACCAGGCCGTGAGGTGTCGGGGAGCAGGGCAGGTCCCAAGGAGGAGCCATTTGTCAGCGGGGAGGGTAGTGAAGGGCATGGGGAGTCGAAGGGTGAGCTTCTCTGCAGTGCCTCCTGCCGTCATGAAGCTGGGGTCCCACAGCTTGAGGCCATGGCCTAGCCCAAGTCTCACAGCAGCGAGACCAGGCAGCTGGGAATGGGCCACAGTTCCTCATCTCCCAGGACCTCTGTGGTCCCCGTGGAGACACAGATCAGGAGCTGGGCTTGGGGACAGAGGATCCCAGCACAGCTCCTAGGGACTGTGTTGTGCCCAAGGCCACGCCTACCAGAGCCAGCGCTGCCTGAGCGAGTTCTGGAAGGTTTGCCTAGGAGTCCTGCAGGTGGAAGGGCAGTCTGTGGGCAGGAGGACGTGATGGAGGGGAGCTTGTAGCCCTGTGGGGGTTACTGAGTGCACAGCCTGGCAGGGAGGAGCCCATGGGCAGGGCAGGGTCACCCCGAGACAGACACAGCATCTTTCCACATGGAGTGCTTAGCCCTGGCACCAGAGAGCTGGACTCTAGGTACTCACTGACCACCCCCAGCTATGTGAGCGCCTAGCTTGCTCCTCTAATTCACCCTGGTCCGGGCCCAGGCACACGGCACTCACTGTGCCATCTCATATACAAAGAAAAGCCTTTGCAGCCGGGAAAGCAGCCGCCTCCTGCCTGTCCCTGGACATGCACAGCCACCTCACTTCCACATGGAAGACCAGCCCCAGCAGGTGGGCAGTCCTGGTGCTGCTTCAGTTCAGGCCACACTGTCCCTGTGTCCCAGCACAACAGTGGGAGGGCACTGGTCAGGTGAGGGGTCAGTGAAAGCAAGGCGAGATACTTCACACAGAGCCAACAGGGTGGGGAGCAGGGTCCGGCTGTGCACCTTGTGGAGACCTGGCACGGCCCCAGCACAGCTAGCAGGTGGCAGGTGACAGCTCTGCAGAAACGGCCCGAATGTGGGCAGGTGTCAGGAGCCAGGGTTAGGCAGTGGAGTGACGGTGATCCATACTGTGTGCGTTCTGCCCCGACCCTAGGCCAGCCCCCATCCTCCTCTAGAGAAGGGTCTAGGAAGTGCTTTGACCTGCCTGAACATGGCAGGTTCCCAGGGAGCTGAGCTTCATCCTTAGCTCATTCTGAAGCAGGGTGGAGACAGTGCACACCGGCTGGCATCGTCTGTCTCCAGGCACCCTGCAGGCGGCAACAGCTTTGATGTCCTATCTTGGCGATGTCACTGGCCCTCTTAAAGTGATGGCCCGGGGAACATTCTACCTGTCAGTGCCAAGGCATGGCCCCAGGAACAAAGCTGGAATGGCAGGTCGCTTTCTCAGAGTCCTGCCAGGTACCCTCCAGTGGCATCCCAGCCCAGGTCAGAGGTGGCAAGGCTGTCTCAGGTGGTGCCCTCCCCACCTCCCACCCCCCACAGGAGCACGGTGCTGGAGTCTGCCCTGCATTGGCCATCTGTGGAACAAGCCAGCTAGCTCCCCTGGCTGCCAGGGAAGGGTGACATGGTGGCCACGAGCTGGGGATGATGGTCACAGCCCAGAGAGCCCAGTGCCCCGGGCCTGTCCCCACACTGGGGAGCGTATCTGAAAGGCCCAAAGGTGGTTTTGGACCCCCCATATCCTGCTTCAGGACAGCCAAGCAGTTCTGGACCCTCGGCTCAAGGAAGAAAGGTGGCGCAGCCGCCCCCACCTGCTGAACATTCCAGCCCTTCCTGGCTCTGGAGTGGTGCAACCCATGTTGGGTCTCACCTCACTCCTCAGCCTGGGCTCAGAGGGTCACCCCACAGCAGCCAGGCTGGAGAGGCCCGTGAAAGGCTCACAGCCAGGCACTGTGTTGTGAACCAGAAGGGGACGGGAGCCTCTGCCCACACCAGCCCTGTGTCCTTCTGTGCCCATCTCTGCATTGCCATTGCTGGGGGCACCCGGACTCCGCCTGGTGGGGCAGAGCCACCCTCCCTGCTGTGGGCAGAGGGCAGATGAGGCACCAGGGTAGCACAGCACTGAGGAGACAGGTGAGACCCCAAACAGGCCTGGGCCCTGTGGCGTCTGAAGAGCTGCCCACTGGCCTCAGGCAGCGGAGCCATGTCTTACAGGTGGTGCCCGCGCCCCTCCCTCCTGTGTCTGTGCCCTCTGAGTGTTAAGGCTGTGCCCCCCTGCCACCTGCAAGTCTTGGCTGTGAGGAGGGTCTTGGTCCTGGGTGCCCAAGCCTGGTGTGCCTGGGGGAAAGGGGTTCGTGGATGGGCCCACCCTATTCCTCAGTGTCCACCTGAGGAATCGGGCCAGTGCAGCGGGCCCGCCGGAAACAGCTGCCTGCACTGGGGCTGGGTGCTCGGCAGGGACAGCGGGGAGACCCGGAGGGACAGAGAAGTGGCCTGGGGCTGAGGCGGGGAGGCTCTGTGAGGCACCAGTGTGGGAGTCCGCAGGGCCAGCCCTCTGAGAGGCCGCTCCAGAGCAGCATTGTGCAGTGGTGGGATGGGGAGGGCAGGCCACAGCCTGCCAAGGTGACAAAGCCGCCCTGGGCTGCAGGAGAACTGCTTTGAAGCTGCCCCAGGTTTTGGCTCTGCTTACTGGGCTGAAGGGGAATGAGCTCCCAATGCTGGGCCCTGGAGGAGGCGGCTCTTGAGCCGAGCTGGGAAGGAAGGTAAAAGGCATTCATGGTCAAAGAAGCCTGAGAGTGGGCGCAGGCGGGGCTGACCTGCTGCTGGGGGGACCAGGAGGTGTGCTGTGTCCGTGCCACAGCCCAGGAGCAAGTGGCGGTCAGAAGAGTGGGGGCAGTGGTCCAGAGGGTGGAGGTGAGCCCAGCCTCCCTGCCCCCCAGGCTCCAGCCCTGAGGTGCTCTCCCAGCCATCTGACCTGGATCTCCAAGACATAGAGGAAGTGGAGATGGGCAGAGACACCTTCTGGCCCGGTAAGTCAGCAGAACTGGGTTAACCAGGTTACTGAGGGACCACAGTCTGCACATGGCACCCCCAGTGCTGGCACCACTCCCTGCCTGGGGCCCTTTCCCTTCCCTTCCCTGGCACCAGCTCACCTCTGTTCCCAGGCCCCCTCCCCCACTCTAAAGCCAGTCCAGTCACTGAAGTTTCCCAAGGTGGTGACTGCAGCCCATGGCCACCTGCCCCAGTGGCCTCAGGTGGACACAGGCAGGAACTCCTCCCTCCCCTCCACATGCTTCAGGCTGGGGCCTCTGGCTCAGGGCACCACTGTCCCCCTAGATCCACCAGACAGTTATTTGGGTTCCCTCCTACTTCATCCCCCAGATGGCCTCACCTCAGCCTGGCTGGAGCTGTCAGTCCAGGTCCTCCGCACCTCCCCCATGAGAAGCCCTCTGGGTTCCCCCAGGTGATGTTAGTGCTGTGGCTGGATTTAACACATCTGGGCGGCCCTGGGGTGGGGAGCAGGTGTCTGAGATCAGGTCCCTGGAAGGAGAACCTGGGCCAGAGAATTGCCTGGGAAGCTCCTGGGGTGGGTATGGGAGCTGGGTGGCAGGGCACTTGCCATCGAGGCCTGGGCAGCCCTGTGAGGAGCTGTGCCCATACGGACCACAGCCTCAGTGAGGGCTTTGGGCGGCCTCTGGAGCCCCCCAGGTTCTGGGTCCTCACCAGCACTCAGTGCTCCCTCCTAGCTGAGAGGGCGACCCCACCCACGGTCTGTTGCCACTGTGGCTCTCGTGCACTTGCACAGCCACCAAGTGACTGTGGGTGGTCCCAGCAGCCGTGAGTAACACTGCAACAACCCCCGCCCCCATGTCTATGACAGCCCTCCTGCGCACGGCGTTCTGAGCCCCTGCCTGCTTGTCTCCCATCCACTGGGGGCCCGGCCCCTCCCTGTCCCCTCTGAGCCCCCTGCCCAGCTCTGCTCACCCCGTTCCCGTCCCTCCGTGCCACGGTGGGGGCACGCTGGTACTATTCGCCTCTGCTGTTTCTCATTTCAGACTCCGAGCCAGAGCCGGCCCCACGCTGTCCCGGCCCGCGGGCCCCTGACTCGGGGACGGGCGGAGCGCTGCGCAGCCTCCTGAGGAGCCTTCCCCGCAGGGCCCGGTGCGGCGCAGGCCTCGAGCCCGAGTCCAGCGCGGAGCGGCCGGCGGGCCAGACCCCCGGGGCCGTCCCCTGCCCCCAGCCGCGGGGCGCCTGGCGCGTGACGCTCGTGCCACAGGCAGCAGCCGGGCCCGAGGACACACCGGAGCGGGCCGCCGAGCTGGGAGTCACCTTCGGCCGGAGCCGGCAGGGCGGCGCGCGGGGGGCCAAGCCGCACAGGTGCGACGCCTGCGGCAAGAGCTTCAAGTACAACTCGCTGCTGCTGAAGCACCAGCGCATCCACACGGGCGAGAAGCCCTACGCCTGCCACGAGTGCGGCAAGCGCTTCCGCGGCTGGTCCGGCTTCATCCAGCACCACCGCATCCACACGGGCGAGAAGCCCTACGAGTGCGGCCAGTGCGGCCGCGCCTTCAGCCACAGCTCGCACTTCACGCAGCACCTGCGCATCCACAACGGCGAGAAGCCCTACAAGTGCGGGGAGTGCGGCCAGGCCTTCAGCCAGAGCTCCAACCTGGTGCGCCACCAGCGGCTGCACACGGGCGAGAAGCCCTACGCCTGCAGCCAGTGCGGCAAGGCCTTCATCTGGAGTTCCGTGCTCATCGAGCACCAGCGCATCCACACGGGCGAGAAGCCCTACGAGTGTGCCGACTGCGGCAAGGCCTTCCGCGGCCGCTCGCACTTCTTCCGGCACCTGCGGACCCACACCGGCGAAAAGCCCTTCGCGTGCGGCGCCTGCGGCAAGGCCTTCGGCCAGAGCTCGCAGCTCATCCAGCACCAGCGGGTGCACTACCGCGAGTAGCCGGGCGGGGGCTCGGGGCAAGGTCTCCTGCCTCCCCGCCTCCTCCGTGGGCACTGCCCAGCACCGCATGCCGCGTGTCCAGAATAAATTCTTTTTGATTGTTGGAAGTGGGAGCCGGCACCTGCCTGGGCGAGGCCTTGGGGCAGCTTCCCATCCCCGAGGACCCGCTGCAGGATTCGGGTGATAGGGCTGCTCCACCAACCTGCCACAAAGGGCCACGGGTCCCTGGGGCCTGGCGGGCGGCCCAAGGATCCTAGGGGAGGGTCTGAGGCCTGGAGGTGTCCTGACTTCCCAGAGACCAGTAGTCTGGCCTGCCTGACGCTGACACCCCCTCATCAACGTGGGGGGTGCGCCCAGAGCAGGGGGTGAGAACAGGGCCTGCCTAGAGGCACCCACAGGCCTGGCCAGGCTTCCTATCTGATACCTGGGCGAGGCCTCTCTGGCAGTTCGGTTCCCTTGTGTATTTGGGAGGCCTCTGCTTCTGCCCAATGCCCCAGGGTCTTCACCACACGCCCTGTCAGCTCTACTGCCTCCTCCCCCGGCCTCCACTCAATGGGGCCCGCTGGGCAGCAGTGGCCTGGGCCACCTCTGCACCAGCCCCTTGCCCTGGGGCGTGGGGTCCAGGGTGTTCAGGTCTTGACAGGTGTGGGCTGGTACTGCCGGACCCTCTTCAGAGCTGCTGAGACACTGCTCCTGGGCAGGGGAGTCTGAGACACACAGCCCTGGGAGAGCTCAGCTGGGGGTGGCCACAAAGTGCTGAGTGCCAGTGCCTGTACCCTCCAGGACAGCTGGCGGGCCCCACCGTGGGTTGAGGAGTTGCCTGGCTCCTCCAAGACTTCCCGTCTCCAGGTGTCGCCTGCTGTGACTCGTCCAGAACCCTGGGCCTGGCCCCCAGGTGTGCCTCTGGCGGGTGTGTGAGGTCACTGTCCTGTTGAAGATTAAGGCTATGGTCCCCACTTTTTGGCAGTGTCTGCGGCGACCTGGGCAGTGCGCGTCTGATGTCATAGCCCCCAGCAAGACCATTTTCCAGAGAACCTGGAGGCTCCGAGGTGACCCGTGGCTTGCTAAAGGTCACATGATTCAGCACCAGCTGAATCCCAGGGCTCCCTGACCAGCCATCCACCCAGGCCCCTGCCGAGACAGCGGGACCTCGTTTCCAGCTCAGAAGCTTAGTCCCCTCCACAAGCCCCGCCCCGCAATGCCCCCCTCGCCCCCGCCACCGCCTGGGAGCCTGCGGTGCTGAGCCTTGTGCAGCCCTTGGGGAAGGCGGCCCCAGGCCCCGCCTGCCCACACCTCCCTCTCCAGGCCTTGCTCCGGGGGCTCCATGGCCACCAGCGCTCTGGAGGCTCCACCGCGCCGGGCGAGAACGAGTCTAGGGGTGCGGGCTTGGAGGGCAATGCGTCTGCCCCACATCAGCTGGGAGGCAGGCGCCTCGAGTCGTCCTTGCTGGTGTGCGGTGGGCCTGGGGTTGAGACTGTTGGCCTGAAAGGTAAGGGTGAGGACGCCTGCATTCTCCTTGTTCAGTAACACGCGTGGGCAGCCAGGCCGATGGGGCTGGCTCTGCAGGGACCGCTCCGCGCGCCCTCTGCCACCGGAGAGAACGACCCGGTGGCCCTCCACGCCGTCCTGGACTGTCCCGTAGGGGCCGGGGCTCCTGGAGGGGCGGGGCCGGGGTGGAGCGGGGTCGGGATGGGGGCGGGGCTGGAGGTGGGGCGGGGGCGGGGTGGAGCCGGGGGCGGGGCCGGGGTGGAGGCGGGACGGGGTGGGGCGGGGCCGGGGTGGAGGCGGGAAGGGGCGGCGCTGGGGCGGGGCCAGTCGCACTCTCTGCAGCTGACCCAGGCTGCGGAGCCACCCTGCTCCACGCGAGACCTCCCGGAGGGAGTGCGTCGCGGCAGGTCCGGCGGGGCTGGTCCTGCGCGCAGGGTCGTAAACCCTCAGCAAGGTCCCTTTGTGTCCTCCCTTGTCGGGCAGGGCCCGCCGAGATGGGCAGAAACGGCATTTGTGCCTCTCCCAGTGTCCGCAGCGCCTCCTCCCAGCCCGCAGGTACTGGGCTGATTCTCGAACGTTCCAAGTGATCGGTGAGCATTTCCCGGGAACCCCAGAGTGGCCCGACAGGACCCCGGAGTGGACTTTTAAGGACATTTGTCTACCCTGTGGTGGCTGCCAGGTGTATCAGCATGCATTTGAACAGGACAAGATATTTCTGCGCCCTCCTGCCACCCTGCGCTGTCCTGGCCTCTTGGTCACGGACCTCCCCATTCCCCTTCGATTTGCATCACACCAGGGTCCTTGTCCGGGCGGCCGCCTCGGGGGACGGCTCTGCCCCAGAGAGGAACCTGGACGACGGCCACCTGGAGCATCTCCAGCTCAACGGCCAACCTCCAACCCCACACCACCTCCAAACCCACACCACCACCGCTCTCCCTCCTCTGACCCAAAACCCGATTCTCAGCCTCTGCCTCCCCCTCCTCCCCGAAGTGACCAGGGATCTTCCTAAGGCCCGGATGGTCTCTGGGAGCCCAGGTTTAGGATCCACCAGCCCTGATTCCATACCCCACACTTATCCTTCCTCACAGAGCCTGTTCCTGCCAATGACAGTGGAGGTAGTGCAGCCCCGCTGGCACCACACATGGTGGCTGGAAGGATGGCATGGGTGGGGTTCTTTGCAAAGTGCCAGGCACACAGCATATCCCCGTAAAAAGAGCGCCTGGAAGGGCCTGTTGATAGTGTGAGTGTATAGTCCTAGCAGAGGACCTCCTGAGCCTGGGTTGGTCACAGCAAATGTGAGGGACCAGGAAAAGGGGTGCATGTGAGTTTTGGAACCCAGGAAGTGATCATCTGTATCTGGCAGAGTATCTACTTTTGAGCTGAGAAGGAAATAAGGACCCTGGGATAGGGTAAAGCTACATGGTCGTGGGGGTGTCCCCTATCACTGTGCTGGGGTGCCGGATCCAAGAAATAAAGAGGAAACAGAAGGACTGGAAAACACAGCTGAGCTCGGGCGCAGGGAGGGGGGCACACCACCTATGAGTAGAGACAGGTGAGGCCCTGAATGTCCAGGAGCATCTGTATTTATTGGGTATAGGTTGGGGGGCAGGGTAGTGAGTGAGGTCATCTTAAGGATAGTGATAGGGTCAAGACAATCACGTGAGCAATAAACAAGGGGTCCACCCCCGTTAGGTCACCGGGGCTAGGAAGCAGGCCTTGCGCAGTGAAGAGGGTGCAGTGTGCCACATCTCCTATCTATATAGGAGGATGCTTTAAATCACACAGCAGCGCCAGAGCTGACAGGTCTGCCGCCGCCTGCTGGCAGCTTCCAGTGATTTCTATAGGAGGATGCTTTGAGTCACACAGCAACAGAGCTGATAAAGTTCACAGCCACCAAGGCGCGATTATACCGGAGGGGTTTTAAGCCCTTCGATGTTCTCGGGATTGCCTGCCAGAGGCCAACTTTCCAGAAGAACTGGATGCAAGGTCCTGCAACTCCCTTACAGTAGGAGTGACTCTTGCTCCAAGCCTGCCATACAGCTGGTATCTTTACCATACTGAACGCTGCCGCCTGGGCCAGCCTGCCATGTAGCACATGCCCTTTCGGGCCGGGGTACTACCGCCTGGGCCATAGATTCTTGTCCTGGTATAACTGTTTTTCCCTTAAATCATGCTCTGCACTGTGTCTGCTCTAGACATTCCTCCGACTATAAGCAGGATGTGCTTGTACAGCTGTTTATCCCTTAATTCATGCTGTGTACCATGTCTGCTCTAGGCACTCCTCTGACTATGAATGGAGATATAATTTTATATATATATATGGAAATAGTAAGATATTCTTCAAGCACTAATTATTCTGATTATAAACTAATACATGATTATATATAAAGGATTATATAAAGGAAATAACTGAGTAATAATACTATCAACTAAGATGCTCTTTAGGTACTAATTGTGCTGGGGATCTGCTTAGCTCTCTTTCCTCAGTGCCCAGAGTGGGGGTTACCCACAGCTGGAGGGGTGCTGAACCCTGAAGCTGCAGAGAGAGGACTTCTGAGGCAGCTTCCAGGAGCCCCAGAAGAGGGGAGGGCCGAGTGCTGACCTCATCGTGGTCTTGGGAGCAGGTGTGCATGCCTATGGATTAGCAAATAAAGGACCAAAATGAGCTTAAGTTTGAAACCTTTTCAGTTCACAAGGGTTTTTATTTTTACATGAATATATGTAGCATGATGTACTGGCTTAGAAAATCGACCTTGGGATTTCAAGTCCAACTCTGCACTTAACTGTGAGGTTGGATGAGTTATTAATCTCTCTGAATCTGTTTCCTGATTAGTAAAATGACGTATTAGGGTTCTCCAGAGAAGCAGAACCAATAGTGGGGCAGGGTGGGTAAGAGAAAGACAGTTATTATCAGGAATGCACTCACAGGGCTATGGGGGCTGGACAGTCCCAAGATCTGCAGCTGTCAGGCAGGAGAGCTGATGGTGTGAGTTCCCATGTGAAAGAAAAAGCTGATGTTTCCGTTCAAGTCTGAAGGCAGGAAAAGACCTAGGGCCCAGTTCAGTCAGTCAGACAAGAGGTGGTTCCTATGCGGGCCTTGAACTGATTGGATGAGACCCACCCACATTAAGAAGGGCACTCCGCTCCACTCAGTTCACAAATTCAAATGTTAATTTTATCCAAGAACAGCCCCACAGACACACACAGTGCCACTGCTCACTCTCAGATTGCCCTCCAGACCGAGGGAACCAGTTGACAAGGCCCCCGGCTCCCCCAGCTATGAGACTAAGTTCCTTGTAACTTTATTTTATTTTGAGATGATATTTCCCTCTTGTTGCCCAGGCTGGAGGGCAATGGTGTGATCTCGGCTCACCGCAACCTCCGCCTCCCGGGTTCAAGCAATTCTCCTGCCTCAGCCTCCCGAATAGGTGGGATTACAGGAATGCGCCATCATGCCTTGCTAATTTTAAATTTTTAGTAGAAATGGGGTTTTTCCATGTTGGTCAGGCTGGTGATCCGCCCACCTTGGCCTCCCAAAGTGCTGGGATTACAGGCATGAGCCTCTGCGCCCGGCCCCCCATAACTTTTCAGCATGGTCACTTGATTTTCCAAGCTTCAC